GACAGCCGGGTCCGAATCGGGCTTGAGCTTGGTCTTGCGCTCCCGGAAGATCACAACTCCATCCGTCACCCGCACGTCGTCCAACAGAATGAAATGGCCGCTCTGGGCCCGATTAAAGAAAACGAAGTCCAGCAGGGCGGAAACTGACGCCTGCAGTAGGAGGAGGTCGTCGGTGTGTAGGCCCCGCTCCAGAATGCGGAGCATCAAGGTGGCCGGCACCGGAGCATGAGAGGCCGCAGGTTCCGGGCATTGACGACGCCATGACCGGGTGAGCAAACGGGTCACCCGGTCGAAGGCGGAAAACTGCAGATGGCCGGCGACCTGGTGCACCATGGAAATGGCGGCCAGGTACTGCGGGAGGCTGCGGATGCCCACCCGACCCTCCTCCCGTAGAAACCGGATGTAACGGTAGATCGTGGCCGGGCGGGCGGGGAGGGCCTGGAGCTCCACGGAGGCGCAGAACGCCTGGAACTTGGCGAACTTGGCCTGCATGGACCGCCGCGTTGACTCCGTGTAGAAAGACAAAAACTGCGACTGCATCCATGCGCAGTCCGATTGCAGCATGCCGTCGACGTCCAGCCCGTAGAGGGGGTGATCAGTCGGCATGGCCTCCACCGGGAGCGGATCATCGGGGGGAAGCGCGACCTCCCTGGAGGGTGACCGAGCGCCCGCCCCTAGGGAGGCTTCCGAGGGCGGACATGAAATGCCCGAAGGTTCCACTTCGGCGGAGGAAGGCGGGCCGGAAGAGTCGGATCCCCTGGGCGAAACATCCCCGGATGACGGGGAATCAGAAGGTCCTCCGCCGCAAGAGTCCGGAGTGGCTGAAACCAAAGCGCGCTCGGCCAATCCAGCGCGACGACGACGACGGCCTCCACGGCGGGCCGAGCGGCGAGGAAGGAGACGAGCCGGGGAAGGAGGCACCAAGGGGGGTTGCACCAGTTGGTGTCCCCGTCCAGTCCTGGAGAAAGGCGTCCGTCCCCGCGCTCCCCACGTCCGCGTGCAGGCTGTTGTACCTTGGGCAGAGGGAATTCGCCGCGGAAGCAAAGCGGTCGCACGACCGGCGACCGAAGCGCTGAGTCAGGCGCTTGAAAATGGCCGGGTGCAGTTGGTAGTCGTCCGCCACCCGAACCCGGGACAGCCTGTCCGGTATGACGTTGTCCTCCGACCGAATATAGTTCGGGTCGAGCAGGAGGTGGCGCGCCGTACAGACTCGGTGCAGCTGACGAAGGGGGGTGAGGAGTTGCTTGGAACGGGTAGTCATGCTGCGCAGGCAGTACATGACCACCTGGTTGTCGACCAACAGCTTGAGCCTCGAAGGAAGGCCATGGGAAGCAGCCGGAAAAAAGCTGAGAATGGCTCGCTCCACCGCCTGCATCTCACGCATATTGATGTGCGTTAAGGAACGGTCCCAAAACCCCCTCGCGAGGAGGGGGCGAGACCTCGTCGGGGAAGCAAAGGTGGCCCCCCAACCGGTCAGGCTGGCGTCCGTTGCCAGAGTACCGGCGAAGGGGATGGCGGCGGGGTTGAGTGGACGGCCTTCACAGCGGCGGATGTTGACCCACGCCTCCAAGTCCAGCCGGGCTTGGGGGGAGAGGATCAGGCGATCCCGCCAACTGCGCTTGGAACGAAGAACCGCGTAGAGGCTTTGCAAGAAAAACCGCGCCAAAGGAAAGGCCAAATAAAGGGAAATGGCTAGGCCGCAAAAACGTGCCAAATCCCTTGCCACAACCCAGCGGCTGGATCGCAAAATGCGGGCCTGATTGGCGATCAACGCGGCCTTGTCCGGAGGAACCTCAAAACGGCCATGTGCCGTGTCCACAATCACCCCCAAATGCTTCTTGCGCATGGTGGGGGTCCATTGACACTTCCGCTCCTTGAATTGGAGGCCCAGCGAGGCAAACACACCCCGAACCAATTTCGACCATCGAGTCAAACGGGCGGCATCATGCATGGCCGCCAAAAAATCATTGAGATAAGCCAACAAAATGGCTGGCGGTTCCCTAGTATACACGTGAAAGTATGTAGCTATTGAGTCATCCCCGGCTAGGCACCCAAAACGGAAATGGCGAGCAGCCTTGGGGCAACTGCCCGGGGACCTCAAGAAACGACCCACAACAAGCATCAAATGGGTGAAAAAGAAAGGAGCCAACGAAAGGCCAAAAGGGAGAGCTCGACAAGCGAAAACTTCATCTCCCATTCGAAATTGGAGGAAACATTCCTCCGATCGACACACGCGAAGATGATGATAAGCATCTTTGATGTCGAATCCCACCAATGAGTCATTACGGCGAAGTAAGTGACCGAAGTCACGTAATTTCTCGTAACGAAGGCCCACCTTGCGAAGGTGACGGTTGACCCGTCGCAGATCGATGCAAAGGCGGTACTTCATGACCCCATCTTCCCGCCCCTTCTCCACCAGGAAGGCCCGAGATATGCGTGAGTTGGGGCCCGGCTCCACTTTGGTGATCGCGCCCGAAGAGAGGTAGTCCGCTCGAAGGGATTGCCAGGCCGCCCGTTCCGCCGAGGAGCGGAGCGGGTAGGAGCCCTCGTCGAAGGGAGCCGGCGGTCCACGCGGTCCCCACAGAAGCGGAGTCCCGGAATGGATCCATTGGAGGATGCGGGAGGGGGCGCCGATGCGACGCCACGCCGAAAGGCGTCCGCGGACTCGATTGTACGGGAAGTCCTTCACTGAGCCGGCTTGGGGGAGGGGCCCGGAGGGCGAGAGCCCTTGTGGGCCTTGGGGCCGGTCGAGGGGGCCGAGGTCGACGGGGGGGAGGTAGACTTCTTGGCGGCCGCGGTCTTGGTGGCGTGCTTCAATTCTTGCGTCAGAAGCTCCTTGTGCATGCGCTCGATGGTCCCGTCGACGTGAGCGGTGCCGAAGCGCAGACCGCGGTCGGCAAGGCGGATCTCCGCCTGAATGGCCCGCCACGATCCCTCCAGGCCCGAGCCCTTGTGCTTGGCGTGGATGCGCTGCAAGGAGAGCTGGTCGTGGAGAGCTTCGGTGACCTCCACGTACGAGTAAATGTAGGGGAGGAGGAATTCCCGTACGGACGCCGGGAGATCGGGATGGGCGGCCACCTCCACAAAGGCCGCGGTCGTGTCGAACAGCCAGGAGACCGGAGGAGCCCAGCCCGCGTACTCCTGGAAGTACCCGGAGTTGGCGCCCAAAGAGGTGGCGACCGCGCTCCCCTCGGCGGTGTCGCGGACATCGAACCAGTACGGCGAACGGGCGCCCACCGGTCGGGCGACCGGGTTGTTGACGGACTGGGGGAGTAGCGCCGGGTCGGGCAACCAGCAGGCTTCGATAGCGGAGCTCGGAATACGGTTGTTGAAACGGCGAGCTTGTTCCCGGCACCACTGCTCCGCAGGGGACGGGTTCATAGGCAAGAACTCGGCAAAGAGCCGGAGGTCGAGACCCACTCAGTGGGTCCGGGTTGTGCCAAAGAGTTGGCGCGAAGCGAAACAAGATAAGGTGGGGACCGAGGGGTGAGCCTAAGTAGCCTCCCCGCTCGCGCCCGCCAAAGCCCGCCGCTCCCAAGGGCGCCAAAAACCACTGGCCCTCCTTGAACGCGACGGACCAGCCACTGACCCAAGGTACAGGGGGACAGAAACCCCAAGGGGCCGCCAAAACCATTGTACTTTAAGCAGCGCTGGCCCAAGTGGGCCAGCGCGCCCGCCCCTCGTCGCCCTGGGCGGAAACCACTTAACAAGATAGTTAATCCCATTTACCGGCCTCCTTCACCACGAAACTCCACCGCTCATTGACGTCAGCATCTGCTGAAAGCCTGGACTCTCTTTCAGCTTGCAGCCGGCAGCCCTTCACTAAGGGCCGCGCGAGGCCTTACAAGATGCGTTTGGCCGTGCGCCAACAGCGTGTGCCACGGGGTGACGGTGGGCAATTGGGTTGGCGGGTAAAGTTCATGAGGATTGGCAACAACGCCTTTGGTGCCTCCTCAATCTTGATGGGCCAGAGGGCCAGATGATTCTTTGGAGGTTCGTGTGTGGCGAAACTCATTTCGGTGCTTCGGTTGCGAAGGGCAGTTTGGCCTCTGGAAAACAGGGTGACAGTGGCGGGGGTGGGTTCGCTGCACCCATGGGAGCTTTGACGTTGCGGATCAATGAATGACCTGTAGTCGCTGATTGCAAATTGTTGATCTCTCGTCGCTCACGACTCATTTCTGGTCACCAATCGCAGATTTACATCCAAATATCTAAATCGTAAAACCAAGAGTTCCATCAAATGCTCGCAACCTGCACATTTTAATTCCAAGTTGTCTGAATCTCAACCCCAACTTTCAATTCCAACTTCTAGTTGGCAAATTGCAACTGGCACTCTTAGTAATCCACGCCATAGATGTGTCAAACTAGAAATTCCAATTCCAAAGCGAAACTGAAATTGCCAACCGTCCAAATCTGCACAGGGCAAATCCAACCTCTTCATACTGTAGAATCACAGGATGCACAGACTGTACTCAGAGGTGATCGCGTTGCAAGAATTTCCGTGCCTTTCGTGCACCATCGGATGAATACCATTGGATGAATATGTTTCCCGCACACGTTCCCCTGAGAGCACTTTAGGCTTGGACAGTGTTTGTCTTGCATGCCTTTGCGGCGACTGCAACGTTGGGCGATTTTTGCTGGGAAGCAGCAGTTGCAAGGGGGCCAACAAATACCCCACAGCCGTCGCCATCGGCTCGCCGAAATTTGATGGAGTCCTACGGGTCATCGGCTTCCAAGCAATCGGGGGCGCCTGGAGGCTGCCCCCGCTGCCTGCGACTGGAGTTCGTCTGGCTGCCAGATTCGGCCGCCACGACAGACGACATCTTCAAGTTTTGCAACACACTTCACGCGAACAGAACACTGTTGGTCTACACGGTGAGGCCCACCAATTGCATGATCACAGCAACTGGAACGACCATTGCGCAAACGGCTTTGTGCTTTCCACTTCGAAGGAGCGTCTTTAGCGGCTTGGAGCCGAACTGCCGGCTCACCAATCGTGATCACCGGAGGCTAAATCCGTAATCCCAACCCTCCGCCGATTCCTCCCGGCCACTTCTCTGTGCTCTTAAGTCCGGGAGCAGCTGTTGCAATGTGGTTTCCTGCTGGACAAAGCAGCCGGGCGATGGCCCAAAACTTGCCCGCACACGCTCTGTTGTAGAAAACACGAGCCCGTGTGGGGGAGCAACTGCCTGGTTTTGTTCCCTAGTCTGACGATCTGGCTGCACAAGGCATGCAAGCACTTCCTGTCCTGGTACTCCCAGTGAGCTGATGGACTTCCACGACGCACACTGCATTAGCGTGGCACCCTTTCTTTTCTTGTCCAATCTTCTTCTGGGTTCCGAGTGCAAATGCTGACACATCAGGGACAGCACAGCAGGTTGTAGACATAATTGTTGGATGCACATCAGCATTTGTTGGGGACACGATGTACCTGGTGCTGAGCCACCATGCAGTACAACGATCAGCAGAACTGAAGCCATGCCCAGCCCATGCTACAAACACCACCACGCACTCCCCGCACTCCACAAGGACAGGCAACCGCCGGCATCTCCATCACAGACACACACAGAAACGAGCTTGCGCCATGCTGTGTTTCTCTTTCCAGCACACGGAATGCACCTCATCGCGCAAAGCGACACCAACAGACACCAGCAACAACAGGAGCACAATCACCCACAGGCCCGTCAGGAGTCAGAAACACTTTTTATCCCTGGCTGGGAATCACAGCACAACCGTGATCAGTTTGCTGCAATGGCCTTCACCATCACCAGCGCAGGACCGGTCCACATGTGATGGAAACAATATCTACACTACTCCATTTACTGCAGCGAACACATGTACACTGTGTTCCGAAGGGGCGCAGCATGCAGGTGAGCCCAGGCCCTGGAACTCTCCCAAAGACATCCTGAATTTGTTGAATTGGCTTCAATGAGGCAGCCAACAAACATTGCAGCCCAGAAACGCCATCCAAACCACAAAGCTTTTAAACAGCTGACAAAACCACCAACACCTGAGGTGAACTGCACTCCCCAGGAACAGCAGGACTGCCTGCAACCACGCAATTGTCTTGAACATAGTCCGCTACAGCTGTCACCTCCTTGTCTCACATGCTAGTAAACAGTGATCGCCAATCAGCATTTGCGCTTGGGGGGCAGGAGATCACACACGGCCAGCTTGCTGGAATGCAGCCCCGCCGGCCGCCCTTCTGGCGTCTGCCTGCACTTGTTGGACTCCGCCACTCGTGCGGAACTGCGTCATCAGCTGCAAAGCCACAAGGCATCATCGTGTTGGTCGCCCTTCCCATCCATGGACACTACTGTGCATTTGCTTGGATAAGTCGGGTACGAGGATGAGCATCATTTGGTGCAACCAGGCCATGGACCATATTCTTCCATGAATTACATAGTTTGCTTTGGGCCGCTGACACATCAAACGCTGGGCATGTGACTCTGTTGCCGTTCTGTGCAGGATGGAAGGTTATGCATGTCGGTTCAGCACATTACAGACAAAGGCAACAAGCACAACAATCAGGCAAGGCATGCATTTTGCACAACAATTTTCCTTCTCTCTCTGAAATCGCCCCAAATTGGCACTGGACAGTGCGCGGCGCCTCTCACCCTACTCCAAAGGAACACGCCCACGACAGCGCTGGAAAGCCACAGGATGAACCCGATGAGGTACACCACTCCGTAGAAGGGGTTCTCGTCAAACATGTCGGACAATCTAACGGCGCCAGCAAATGCCCTGGCGCTTCCGATACCCCATGGGGGTGCTGGCAACAACGCAAACATGCACATCTCATGCACCGCCAAACGTATATAACAGAACACAGTGCATTCAGACTCCAATGAGAAGTCGCCAACGATCTCCCACGGTTAAATAAAATTTGCACGTTTCTCTTTCCAGAAGTTTTGCCCACAGGTCTGCCTGCTTGCAAGTAGCGTGCAAGTGACTGCCCGATATAGGTAATGTGCAGTTCTCTGTTTCCAGACTGCACATCAAGAGACAAAGGAAAACTGTTCTTGGCATGTCTGGAAAAGTTTTGAGTAGTTGCTGTTAGCGTAGCGCCTCAAGGTGTGAACATAGCTGTCCCGCACCATCGAGCACATGTCAAGATCATTTCAGTCATCAAACCACAACCAAACCGCGGCTGTGAATTGCTCTGTTTGCAGCCTTTCCCAGCAGTGTCTCTGCCCACATTTTGTGAATACACAAAGCAGTGCCATGGCATGTTTTCTCTTAGGCAGTAGCCATCTGGCCACAGTGAGCATGCTGGCACAAAGCGATGTTTCAACAGTCAATCATCAAGAACGTGAGACACCTTTGCTGATCCAGGCATATCATAGCATGGGACAAGGCAATCCATGTGTCTTCGTAAGTGGGCACCAGATATTGTCAGCAGAAAGAGTCCAAAGGCGTAACATTTTGTTACATCCCCTGCCTTCCCCCCCTCTCTTTCAAATGTAGTTGATCATGTTGATCATTTGAAGAGAGCTCAAGTGTGGCTGCAGATCCTGCCACCTTCCACTTCAGTGTCAGCCACAACAGTCTGCAATGCTAGACAAACTGCTGCCACTACAGTGCTAGAGCAAGACTGCAAATCATACCCCACAAGACAAAAAAACAGAAAGAATAAAATAATCCATGCACTATGCCATCCCTGTGTTATTTTCCTTGGAACCATAAGAAACGACAAGCAGCCACCAGTAATTGATGCAAACAAACTGTTCATTCCCTGCTCATTCTTGATCCAGATGTGTGGATTTCGAAAGTGTCCATGAGCATTGTGTAGGGCCAGGGGCCCTTGTTTGTCCATCCATGCATTTCGTATTCTCAGAAGATCTGAGGAATTGGGGTGGTCACTTTCCATAGAAAGCATTTCATATCCGGGCCAGAGATTATCAAACTAGAAATCAACACCCACAGATAAGAGGGTCACAGTCTGCTCCCAGCCTAAGAGAATGAACAGTACCTACATTACTAATAACATCATTAGCATTGCCAACAACTCTATTAAAAATATGAACGTTATCAATGTTAGTATCACCCTGTTGAAGCATGGATGGTAGAGAGGATGTCTGAACCAGGATCGATCCGGGTACCTCCAGTGGGATGTCCCACTTCTCTACCAAACCACCTGGCCAGGGGCACGGAAGAGGGCACTCCACTCCCTCAAGCAGCACTCTACCCAACACACCCTATCATACAGGCATTTATGGGACTCTGTTCCACTCTACGGGCGACTGTGTTGAAGGCAATTGCAGAAGTTTCAAAAGCTGCAATAGGAACAATGAACAACACAGAACACAACCCACCTATTGTTCCCCAGATGCAGAACCCGATGTGCACAATGTACCACATGAAGAACCACATGTAGGTGAGGGACCGGTCATTTCTGGATGCGTTGTAGATGCGCCGGTACCAGAGAATCCAAGCAGCGGGAATGCCCACTACCATGTAGAGCACTGGGCAGAGCACAGTTAAAGTCAACGCCAGACATTGCATGATGCACAACAAGCACCGCACACTTCAGCACAGGCACTACACGATGAGCATTGGCCACCACACTGTACCACCCTAGTGCACAGATTCTTTGTGAAGCCATACTTGCATCCAAAATCTTGCAGACCTATTCACCAATCGCAATCATGACAGGCAGCAGTGGCCCAGGCAGCATATATGTGCAACTGATGACAACAGGGGGCACACCAAAGGCAAATCTACCCACAAAACGCGTTGCCAGCCGCTGGCATACTTACGTGCCAGGAACATGGGCACAAGGAAGTCCGCATCAATCCCAAGGCTGACGAGAACGGCAAAGAAGTTCCAGATCAAGGTGACGCAAAACAGCTGCAGGCACCAAAATCAACCATTAATGCCAGATGAAAGACACTGAGCAGTGAACGACTAGTATTCTTCACATTCTGCATGGAGAAGCCCAAAGGCAAGTCACACATCACGATTTTAACAATCATATATTTCTCCTCAAAGTATGAACAAGCATATTGTTTGCAAAGGCATGTCCAACCCTGCAACTTTATCTGCCCGGCATTTGAGAGGCATAAGGCAACACTGACAGCAACAAACCAACAATGCGACACACAATTGTCTCTGCATTTATGAGGCTACGGCAGGACCTGTTTGCAGCAGTTTTCCCCAAAGCACTGCTTTGTTTCTCCTCAACATTAACAACACATGTACAGCTGCCGTGTGAAGCACAGGTGCGCTGTTTGCACTGCAAGCGCCTACGTCGACTTGCCACTGTGCATTGCATTTATGCTTGTTGCATCTGTGAGGAACAATGCAATTCAAAGGAAAAGCACAGACATGATGTGACACCAATGTCTTGTCAACCGCGGTTTGCTTGTGGCTTGCAGTGGCCAGGACATTGCCATCGCACAATGTACAACGAATCGGAACACTGCCAATCCAGACCACAACACTGGCACCAGTGTGACTGGCTGATGCCCATAATGTGCTTATGAGAGCCCATTGGTGCAGTTCGGGTGTTACCAGATAGGACCAAAACGTCCAGCGGATGACGCGCTGCATGTGCGCCGGCACTTCCGCATCGATGTCATGGTACACCAAGGGCCAGCACTTGGGGAAATTCTTTGCCCCTGACGCTGCAGGGGCAGATGGAGGGACGACAGGCGGCTGGCTTGCCATCGTGCCATCGTAGCCTTGTTCTTCCTGAGCATTCCAACAAGCAACATCAACTCACAAATAAAACCCTTTTGGGAAAAAGGTACACAAAAATGCTGTGCAGTACTGTACAGTACTTATACCACGCTTTCCCCAAACAGGGTTCAGTTATTCTATTGGCTCCATTCTGCACTTTCACAGCAGTGAAGTAGCATGCGAGTGCCATTCTTCGAAGCTCTGTTGCCTCCGCATTGGGCAGGAGAGCAACAGACATACAATGGCATATTTTGTAGTGTTAGAATTTTGGTATTCTTCTTGTTCTACAGCAATCGATTTTGCACCTGTTCGGAGCTTTTGTTGGGGTGCATATCTGGCACTATACCTTGATGGATTGAAAGCTTACAGTGTTGTGCAGTATGCTTTTAGCTCTTGTGTGGTGGATACATTGCTGGGAGATTCTCCCCAATGACTACATCAGGTTTTAGCGCCTGTAGACTGTAAACCTGCTGGAAAGCCATAAATGCAGCACACAACAAACTGTATTGCTGGTGTGGATGTACAGCCAGCAAGACCAGCTGCTTCTAGCGGAGGACCAGTGCAGGACCAACATCTGCCTGGAGTGGCCATGCCACACAAGTACCATAGATCACAGATGATAGTGTGCAGGGTATTGATTGGCGTAGGGGCCCTCACATAATGGCCCCCAAGTTATTGAACATGGCCACCGCCGCAGAGTGCGGGGGGCATGCATATCCTGTGATGGAACATCCTCATTCACATTTAAGTGATGCAGCAATGCAGCGTTGCAGTGCAGGAAGTCACAAGAACACTATGGTGACAACCTCCCATTTGTACTCTGATTGGCGTCCTATTTTAGACTAATACTTAATGTGTTAAATTGGTTTGGTGGTCAATATGGCAGGGGTGTTATTAGCTAATCAACTTGATGCAAAATGCGGGGCCAGGCAAGTAGCGCAGGGGAATGCAAGATAGTGCCTCCTTCCCCCCCACCCCCACCCCCACCCACCCACTAACCCACACACCCACACAGCACCACCACACACATGCACACATTCTTGAAGCCAGCTTTGATGATCAATGAGCGGTGTGTGCGTGCGTGCGTGTGTGATCCTTTGTGAGCCTCCCAGGTCCCAGGAGACCATCATCCTGCATGTTTGCAGACAACTGCAGGGCACCCTGCTATCACTAAGGGCCCTCCAAGCGGTTGTGCAGGACCATTCTAAGCCTCCCATGCCCTAGGATACCTTGTCGTACAAGTCTGTAAACAATTGGAGGGCACCCCGCTGCCATCAGGGGGGTGCCCTCCACTTGTCAGCAGACATGTGCATGATGATGGTCTCTTGAGGCAAGGGAGGCTCAACCTGGTCCAGCACAACCGCTTGCAGCAGCCCTGACGGCAGCAAGGTGCCCTCCAACTATCTACAGACGTGCACGATGATAGTCTCCTGTGGCAGGGGAGGCTCAAGATGGTCTTGTATTGGCCTGTTTGACAAACTTACCATCAGCATCTCTACAGCAGGGCAAATACCTAGAGCTACCTGCCAACAGATCACTACATAAGGTATCAACCCTGCCTTTGGCATCCCAATTCATATGCCGATATGCACAAACATACTGGTACCCATACCCACAAGATCATGTCTGTGAACCCATACTATTGCATAAATATGTATATTTACCATATAGAACCCCCTTTTTGGCAAGCATGTTGTATGACACAACACATAAGAAATCTAACAGCAATTCTGGCACTCACCCTGCTTGGTTTTGATGCACCATTCTTTGGCTCCGGGGTGGAATAATCTGGTGCTTTGGGAGGGGCAGAAGACCAAGCGCCAGCTCCAGATGCACCGTAGGCTCCACCACCTGAGCAACACATGTTGCAGGCTTCAGTGGAAATGACAACTAACAATATTAGTAGTAGAGGCAACCCAAGGTGCATTGTGTGGACCAAGGCCAATGGCTTTCGGCGAACCTATCCTTTGGATACATAAAATCAAATGATTCCCAAAGCAAACCATACAGGAAACGGCTGTTTAAACGCCCATGAGCACAACACGATGGCACTATTTGTGTTGCAACTAACAGAGACCACATGATGGTAGTAGTTGTGAGCCGTGGGCTAGGGCAGCTATGATCAGGTTGTGGACCAGTTTGGACTGCTGATGTCATCCTGATGCCCAATGGGACAGGAAGGATTTATCGTGGGGGCATCAGCTGGTCCAGAATGGTAACAACGTGAATGAACATGGTACATTGCACCTACAAGATCCGCCCCAGGCACTAGAACAGATGCAGAGATATCCCCCTGCTCAGGTGCCAATCGTTAACATTTTCTCATGCCAATCGTGAACACTTTCTCATTCTCAGATTTTCCTTGACACTTCTGTCAACTTTGCCATTACAACAATGACACTTGCACTCCACAACAGATCCATGCCAAGGATTGACGACACAGCTGGTGCTCCAGGAACAGCTGCACAGCTTGCCCACCTGTCACCTGACAACCTGGAAATTGAGTATTGCTCTGGAACTGTGGGAAAAGCTAGGGATGGGATGCTTGTGTGCGACCTTGTGTGCAATATTAGACCCAAAACATAATTTGGCATGGACATTTTTCTGCATTTTGCATCAATCTTGGAGGAGGCCAAATGAAAGCCATTGTGACCCCTAGCCAGGACGTACAGCAGCTGCCTGGAAGATTCATATCTATTGGCTGCATAAAGTTTTCTTTTCCAGAACAATAGAAATGTGTACAAAGCTGGCTAATGCCTTCCCACAGCAACAATTTTGCGCGATTCCTTCCAACACATCAGCACGATCTATGCACACTCTGCTGTCCACAATTAGTGCATGGCAACCTGTTCTGTAGAATTTCTACAGAGCTGTCAGCCATCCACAAGATACAATCACACAAGGCTGGCACACATCTATCGTGTTCACCATGTCCTAAGATACCCATACAAAACATGCAACATGTGCAGCTAAATCCGCCACTCAAAGCATCCACAACTTGCCTGTTGCAGCAGGCACCGCATAGCCCCCTTCACCCTGCAAAAGAGGCAGCAAAGCAGTCTGTATAAAGAAAATGGATGCTGCAGCATCTGGTCGCATCCAAGATGGATGCATCCACTTTCAAGTTGACAGCTGCAGTCAGGAATGGCTCTTGAGCACCACAAAGCATGACCAGGAACACTGTATGGACAAACACAGTCTTCAGCACAGTGTGGCCCTAAGCAGGCAAATGGCAACTGTGAAAGGTACAGTTGAACATGCCAGAATCTGACTATGCTGTACATGATCTTTAAACTGCCTGGATGGCAATCTTGCTGAACTTGTGACAATCAGAGCACATTCACACAAAGCACCCCAGCAGGCCTCAGGTCACCTCAGCTGTGGTGTGCTCAGTGACAGAAGGATCCTGCAACAAGGCACAACAATTTGCGGCATCAGCACATAATCGCTGCCAGATGATCTCGAGTTTGTCAGAAGCAGTATGGAAATTCCCTCAACGTGTGCCAAAAATCTGCATCCCTACAAACTCTGGACACTCTCAAACGGTGGGTTCCTGTGCACACTTCGAAGCAATGCAGGGCAGATGCGCAAATCGCCCTTCATCTCCTAATGGGTGCCCGGCGCGAGTTGGCAAGTCCGCCAAAACGCAAACCATTGGAACACAAGGAAAACTTGCCCTTGTGCAGAAAAGACTCCAAAACTTTGCCAGCAGCGCAGTGACCAATGCACGCCCTCCTTCTGCCTTCTGTCATCGACTATTGCCGGCAGCGCATTCGCAGGCCATCGGGACCATCACCACCTTGCCCAACACCTCCATCTCCCGGGCGCACCCCAATTCGCAATCCCGATGCTCAAAAGTCCCCGTCACAATCCGGGGCAGGCCTCCGGGCACCATCCCAGAACCACTGACCCGACAAAAGGAACGCGAAAGCGAGAAGCCTACCCGCGGCACCCCATTCCATGGGCGCCGCTTGGGTGTTTTTTGGTGCGGATTGTATAGAGGATATATGACAGGGGAGCGAACCGGGTGCCTCTGACGGGATGTCCCATCGTTCTACCAACCACCCGGCTAGGGGTAAGGAAGAGGGCAGTCCAACACCTTAAGTACCCTGCCAACCAACACGGGGTCCGTTCTTGCGGCGAACGGCAAAAGAAAGAGCGGCTTCTCTCCAGGTGCACATGCTGGGCGCCAACACGTTAAGCGCAGAAGGGGCGGATCTTAGCCTCGCCTGAGGACAGGCCCGACGGCCCGCCTCCCCCCGCGAGGCGAAAGCGGCGGGAGGAATTTTCAACGAAGAATCCAAATCGAGCGCCGGGAAAGGGCTAAGGGCCGCGGGTGTTCCGCTGCGCCCACGCGGCCGATCGCGGCCAAGGCGCAGGACGGGGCTTTCCAACAATCAGCCCAGTTTCAGAGCTACGACGAAGAAAGAAAATTGGCCGCGCCGATCGCCCCACGCCACGTCCCCTGGCCCAGCCCTCCCGCGCCCCTTCCTACCACCCTCTGGGTGCATGCTTATTTTTCCCAAAGGGGCACCCACGCCACACCAACCCCAGAATTGCTAATTTTAACTCTCCAGCGCCAAATGCCAGCAAGTTGGCGCGCGCCGCTGCTCACCGCGAAGGGGTTGGGCTCCCTGCTGAACGGGTTGCTGCGCGACATCTCCCTCAAGCCCGGTGGGGCA